CTCTCTCTCTCTCAAATATATAAATAAAATCTTTAAAAAATAATTAAAGAATTAATGGGCAAATTGGGGTAGGGTACAGTACTTACTTATTTTTAGTGATTTAAAACAACTCTTTTATTATGCTCCTATGTTCTGTGAGTCAGGGATTCAGGCAGAACTTGGCGGGGGGGTGACTTGTCTCTATTTCACAATGTGCAGAGATTCAGCTAGACAGACTCAGAGGCTAGGGGTGAGTGTTTGAGTGTTACTTTGTTTTCGAGTGATTTAGCAGGAAAAAAATTTAAAGTTAATTGCTCTAGTGCGTGTAAGAGCTAAGGTAGTGTAAATGACCAAGGCAACTGACAACTGCAAGTAAAGATCAATAAAAAATTAAGAGAAATCTCTGAAAGGATAATACAACCCAAATGAAGAATAAGAGTTGATTTTTATATAGAGTTTTAAGAACATGGCTATTATATGAAGTAGTATGTATATTTGTGATTTGGGAAGAATATTTACTACCTTACACTTCACATATCATGATATATATATACTTTAATATACTCCACAGAGAAAAATCAGGGAACAGGAAACCAGAGTGAGATCACTCTACTTTTTGGAAATAGCTTGTCTGTAAGAACAACTACAATACTCATCTGGTTTGTCTAGGCATAATTCCTATGTCTGTGTCTAAACTCTAATTTTTCAAATAAATCTGCCCGCAGCTAGGTGGCCACATTTTTAGCCATCAGGGGGTGGCTGACTCATTGTGGTTCATAAGCATCAATTCCATATAAAAAAGAAATGGAAAAACACCCTGAGTTGTAAGCAATCAAAATGTGATCAAAATCTAACTTGGTTTGATTAAAAAGGAAAATCCACAGTAATTCACTTTCTCCTTTCTACTCTTCACACAACAAAATAAGAGGTAGTACAGAGAAGCAATTAAAATGAAATTGCTTTTTGCCCCTGGGATATCTGAGTAGAACCTTCCCACCAATGAAGTATTTAGCTCCAGATTTCTCACTTTTCCCCCCTTTGCCATACCAAAATTGCTGTGGTCTTCCTTTAGAAACAATGTCTGTTCGGTTAACCCTGGGCTTCTAAGACTCTTAATCTTTTTATTTTGTAAAAGTTGTAAGACTGCACAGTAACAAGGCCATCGGCCCTATTCAGTTAGGACCTTGGATAGGATTGGAAACCAGCCCAGTATCATGAATTCCAACAAACCTGTATAACCTCTGAAACGGGGTGAAAGAATGTATCCGTGACCATTGACCACACCTGCAATCTGCTCCTGCAAGGAGATATCACAGGAAGAAAAGAGCGTGCAGACATAAATTGCCAGCACTGTTGCAAAACTCCAACATTCACCCTCCTTTCAGACCATAGTCAGGCCTCAGAAGCAAACACACTTGCTATTCCGACCTAGGAACGAAAGCTGCATCATTTACCCCAGAGACCCCGAGCCACGGGAGCAGCTCCACTTCAGCCAACAAAACCACCTGACTATACTACAGGACTAGAGACACATGAAACAGAATTGTAGCAGCAAGAGGAAATGTTCCCACAAATGAAAAAACCCTATGTCACTTCCAGACTCTTCATGATCTCTCTCATGCATGTCTTCACGATGCGGCAAACACGGGGACATCTAGTAAACACTGGATTCCAGTAAAGCAAACACTAGTGAGGTTCAGAGTATGTATAGATACACACGTGTGGTCTCAGTGCGGCTCGGGAGCAAAAGAAATGGAAAGCGAAGCTCCATCAGGAGCTTGGGGCTGGGAAAAGTGAGCCAAGTGAGTAAGATGGGGGAGCACAGAGTGGCACAACAGACAGTTGGGAGCACCACTGAAAAGCGACCCCCCACCCCTGGTGAGGTACCCGGCACTCCTCCCCCGGCGATCACAGGGTCACAAAGGACAGAGAGAGCGCTCTTACTGTAGCACACGGGAGTGGCTGAGATCTCTCAAATCCGAGTCCTCATAATGCGGAGTTATCGTTCCCAGCCCGCTGTCGCTCAGCATGCGCTTCCGTAGGGCAGGATTCCACCAGTCGGAAATTCTGGGAGAAAGCAGGGCACCAGGCATTTAGGCATTCAAAGCCAGCATGGCACGTACTCTGCTCTGTCTCAAGATGATTCTTGTCTAGATGCGAGATGGCAAACTAATCTTCACTGGGTATTTACTAGTTACTTCTTCACATTCATTATTTAATTTTCTCAAGTATCATGAACTATTTGTGTGCTTCTGCCCTCTACAGATGAGAAAACTGCCTTTCAAGATTAAGTAATTTTAGGGGTGCCTGGGTGGCTCGGTCAGTTAAGCATCTGCCTTTGGCTCAGGTCATGATCTCAGGGTCCTGGGATCAGCCCCACTTTGGGCTCCCTGCTCTGCAGGGAGTCTGCCTCCCCCCCCACCCCCCACCGTGCACGCACTCTCTCTCTCAAATAAAAAAATGAAATCTTAAAGAAAGATTAAGTAATTTTAAATGTGATGTAAATAAGAAGTAATGGGACCTGATGTAGAAATGGAAATTAGGAAATAACAAAGCCCATCCTTTTTCACTGCTTTCCTGTCCTTGTTCATTTCCAGAAGGGGCAACTGACCAGAAATAAGAAAGGGACTGACTGAAGTGCTAATGGATTTTCAAGCTACTTTGAGCTACTTTATTTTTGGAGCTAGGGCTGATAGAGGATGCCCAGGACAAAGCCATTTCTTTTGGCCAATTATTGATATAGAGAGAGGGCAAAGAGCAGGGTGAGTGTGGTAGAACGGGTTTACTCTTAACCAGATTGAAGACTGCAGCCAAGATCATGTTGGGCAAGAGGACAGCAAGACTCTAATGCCCACTGCCCCTGCAGGATGATCCAGCATCTCACTAGCTTTCCCCACAGCGGACAGGCTGGATTTACAGACATGGACTGTGAAGATGGGCTTCTCCACCACCTTCTGGGACTCCCGGGGGTACACATTTGTTATCACTAGCTCTGGCTTTCCTAAACACTGCTATATACCTGCCCCATCCTGCCACTTCTGTCTTCTCTGGACTTGATACATATCACTGATCCCAGCTGGCCTTGGCAGAGTAAGAAATATTCAGAAATGGCAGCAATGACCAAATAAATTAGTGCACAGGGGTAAACAGGCATAAGGTTACCTCAAGTGAACATGTCTACATATATGTGTGTGTGTGTGTGTGTGTGTGTACACAATTCGCAAATGCTATTTGAGTGCCTGTGTGTGTGTGCTTTCCAGGGAAATCCTTATTTTAACTATTTGGCCTTCATATACCAGTTAAGACATCAAAATTCATCAGACTTTACAAGGGCAGAAATGTTCAATTTTTTATTTTTGCGCTGTTGTTTCCTAACGGCTTCTACTGGTAGCTGGCACCTAAAAAGGTCTCTAAATAAGTATTTTGGAATTGCTGAAATAACCTAGAAATATTAATAATATTTTGGTGGTTCAACATAGTGATTAAATGCACGGGCTTTAGCATAAAACCTGGGACCAAATCTCAATTTTGCCATTCATTTTCTGTGCAATGGTGGCAAAGTTAAAGAACCCTCTGAGCCTCAATTTTGTTATCTGTGGATTTAGGATAATAATAGTACCAGACATGCAGGGGCACTGTGACAGGACAGTGATGACGAGGATCATTTTAATGACACCATATTGAATGAGTGTCTACCAAGTGTCAAGAACTATCCTAAATACTTCACACGTATCAACTGATTTAATTTTCAAACAATTCTCTGCGTAGGCTTCATTTCCATTTTACAGATCAGGAAATAAGCACAGAGCACTTCCAATGACAAGGTTACTATGAAGTGGTGGTAGGGATATAAGAAAGGCATTTAGGACAGTATGTGGCTCATAGTAAGTGCTTGATACGTCATAGTTATTATTCTACCATCTATGTCTCAGGCTGCCTGGATCTAGCAAAAAAGGAGGAGGAAGTGGTAGAGGAGAAAAGTAAGAGTCAAACCACCTGTGCCCATTTTCCTTTGGATGATACAAGCATTATAGATATATATGCACAAATGCAAATACTAGTACTTTATAGTTTGGTAAGAAGTGTGGATGTAGTGGTTAAAGAAAGTTCAGACATGGTACAAATCTTGGTGGGAAAGAGTAATTCTATGCAGCCATTCAAAAGACAGACACAGAATGGAACGAGTTATGCTACATGCTAATGAAACCCAGCAAGAAAACCTGTATTTCAAGATAGTTCAATGTCATTAGAAATGTCCAGTGCAAAGCCACGTTGGACACGGATGTCACGCTGTGGCCAGCCTCACTACCACATCACCAAAGAAGGGCGCACTCACCCTGAAGCTTGCTCCACCACCAGGTCAGGCATTCCTGGAGGTGTTCCTGCCTGCTGTGACAACACCATATCTGGATCCAGAATAAAAATCTCATCTTGGGAAATCTCCATCACAAAGTGCAAATGTTCCTAAGGAAGAAAAAAGAAGTCTGTCAAAGGATTGACAAGATGCTCAAATCTATCATCTGATAATATCAGTGACAAAACAAAGCATCCTTGGTCTTGAGGGATAATGAAAGTCGATGGCATATCCGAAGACCACAGTGTATTTTCAGAGGCCAGACCAGTGGACATCCATCCCTGAAGCGACATGGTAGCAAGAGACTGGTGAGGGGAAGAGGTGAATCCTTCTTGGTTTGGGATTCCTACTTGACCAGGATCTTGTCAGGTGTAACCAGAGATGGGCTTGCCTCTTCTTCCCAAATACTTTTGAAGAAGCGACACCCCACTTGTGGCTTGGTCCAGCATGAATTGTGCAGTAAGCTGGACTTGGACCCCCAGGATCTGGCCAAAGCTAAGTGGCATGATTAACAACTGGTTTTATCACTGGATTCCATGGCATATTATTATTTCTTCTCCTTCTTCTTCTTCTTTATTGCAGGAGAATTTGGGCAGTAGGAACATTTATTATCATTGAGCAGAAGCATTTTTTTTTTTCTCATTACGAAATCCCGGGAAGTGATGAGTTGCAACTGAGTAGCATAAATATACACCTGAGGTGTCAAACTTGCTAACCAAAATAAACTGAAAAAGCCATAAAATGGAGCTAGGAAGTAGTAAAAGTAGCAGTGTGCAAGAAAATTTAGAGTGCAGGCTGGTGATAACATCTATAAGCCTAGTTATTGTCTGTACTCATTTACAAGGTCAAATCTTGAGTCCACAAATCACAAAATGTGTGAAGACAAATAAAAAAACTCATAACTTAGGCTATGAGTACCAGTCCGGAATGTGTAAATGTTTTAGGGTTTACATTAGAAAAAATGTGTAAGATTAGCTACCAATAAAGTCTATTGATTGTGGAATTTTTCACTTTTACAAATAGGCTCAAGAAAGCTTACCTGAGATCTGTCTATTCGGTAAAAGCGATCAGCAGAAGTTGCTAGGAAAGAAAAACGTATATGGCATTCAGAGTCCTGTGATCTAGCACCAAATTTACAACCTTCTCTCCTACTATGCCACTCAAAATCTTTGCATTCCAGGCATGCCGGCCTGCTGGCCAGTTCCTAACTTTAGAAAAACTCAGAACTTCCCTGTCTGCTATGGCTACGCCCCAGCTTAGAAAGCCCTTCCCCATTACATCTCCCTAACTAAATCTTACTTGTCTCTTAAGGACCAACTTAAATGCTGCCTCCTCTGAGAAACATTCTTCCGTCCCATCTTCCCTACTCTGGACAGAATTCATTGCTCCTACCTTTAGGCATGTTCACATTTTTTTATACTTCTTGTAGACACCATCTTCATAAATAACTAGGAGACAGAGATATCTGCCTCTTTAAAGGTCTGTGCTTCATTTACTCTTTTATGTCTACAGACACTAGCACATGACCTTAAACAGAGCTGGGACTCAGTGTGTATTTATTAAGTAAATAAAGGTGGTGGTGGTGGGGGGAGTGGGGGACCTGTAGGTAGCCAGACTTCCCAAGGAAGTGATTCTCATTTTGAAAAAAAAAGCTTGAAGATGCAGAGCCAGGGACCCCATCTGGTACTGAAGGATTCATTTCACTTCAAGATTGAATTCCTAAGCCATGTCTAAAGAAAGCCAAAACAGTAAAAGTAATTATTTAAGCATTCCTAAAAGGAACTGGGTTGCATCTGTGGTTTGGGGAAAAAAAAATTGCAAACTTTCGGTTTGTAGACACTATTCTGATTATTCTTAATACTCAAAAGAATTATGTTCCTCCTCACTTAAATCTATCTAACAGAGTCCAAATATTATAAATAGATTTTCTACAAAGTACATAGTCCAAGAGGGAATAACTCAAAATGCAAATAATCATTCAAAAATCCTAACTATTTAATGAGTAGCTTCTCTCCAAAGGACATGAGCTGAGAAACAAGACAATCACGGTCCCTCCCCGCTAAAAGCAACAAAGGAATAAAATCTGAGGACTTATTCTACTTTGGTTCTTTTTAACCTTAAGTATGATCACCTTTTAAAGGTTTTTCTATCTATAGAATATAACTAACATCACACTTGTAATTTTATCTAAGAAAGTATATAGAACAGACTGTATATAGAACAATTCATATAAACTTCTAAAATTTTCTCAAATATAAGTTGTTTCCCTGTGAAGTCAGGAAAAAACACATGATTGTGCTTTTCATCACAAGGGAATAAAGGAGCCGGAGGAAAGTAGTGTCAGTTATCTTCAGAGTAGGTGATGAGCTATTAATGAAAACCTAGGTCATGATTCACTTGGGTTAGATCTGATATAAATACAAGTGTTCATCTTCATAGTACTGTTTACATACTCACACATCCTGTCGCATTCTTGTCCACATTTATATCTGCATCCCCAGATCAACCAAAGAAATGTCTACAGTGAAAACCACATGTCCACATAGACAAGAGAGATACCGGGTTGTTGATATACTGGGCAGTAGATAAGCAGGAGTGTACTGTAATATGGGTAACTAACTGATAGAAAAACAGGATTAGGCAGCATCTAGGGAGTGAGGGATGCTTGCAATGGAAAATGAACCCATTAACCAATCAGAAAATAACTGAAATACATTCAATAGGCTATGCTCAGCAGAGCAGATCTGAATGCAACTGAAAATTTCTACATTTTTGCAAAAATGTATACTCATACTGAAATGATGGCTAATGGTAATATACGAAAGTTACAATAAGCAAACAATAGGGAATTAGTACCTGTCTGCTGTGTACTATATCCATCTACTGGCCTGAATTTAAGATAAGCCCTCAACATGTTTCAGGAAAAGGGGGGGGGGGGGGGTGCGGTGGGCACGGAAAGGGAAATGTCAGTTTGGGCAATTTGATGCTGAGTTCAGCCCAAGGTAACCAACTTTCTCTGAAAAAAATGACTTCAGGAAAGTATGTCGCAACATCAGTGAGTCCACATGGTTTGAGATGCAAATACCAGTCACACAGAGCCACATAAAGAGTTTCTGAATAATCCATTGGAAAACCAGGGTCCACTCCACCCCATCTATCAATACATTGTTGTCCTGCTGCTTCTGCAATCCCCACTGCTCCATGAAATAGAGAAACACTCACCATCTAGAAAGCACCACCGTGGGGAGAGTCTCTGAGCTGAGAGCGCCCTGGGGAAGGAGGTTTCGTGGTCCTGGAAAGAGACACATACATCCTCCTGACTCCATTTGAATGACCTGAGGGTTTCAACCTCACTGTACCATATTGACTACTTCTAAGAGTGAGCATCCTTTCCTAAACCGAGCACTGGTGAGAGGCCAAATCGTATTCTTACTAGAAAGAGAGGCTGTCCTTTGAAATAAATTACTTCACACGGGACCTTCGAAAACAACTCCCACATAAAATTTCTATGAAGTTCTCAACTACTCTATTAAGCATTCAGAAATGACATAACTGGGGACATTTACCTCGTTTAGGGAATTTCTTTGCTTTTGTGAAGCTAAGGAAGTAGGGGCAGCTGGCTGTCATTTACACTTTGGTTCCCCACATAGATATAAGGAAGGCCCTGGCACAAAATGGGAAGGCGCTGAGCCTCATCTACTGGCCAGAATGGACTCGCAGCACTGAAGAAACACAAGAGGCCATCCATCTGCAGTGTCAAAACCCCTTAACTAGAATAGCATCTGTTATACAGGGCAATTTGTCTGCATGAAAGCAAAGAAAATCAACATCACATATTGAGGCCATCATTACCTCAACCTTATCCACTGAACCTGACTGCAGAGCTGCGCACAAGGAGGAAGAACCTTCTGCCAGGCTGGCTGGTGACAAAATCGTCTGCCCAACACGGACTTAGCCAACGATGTACTCATCCGCCTTAGCATTCTCCAGCTCTCTAGCTTCTAAGATGCCCGATCCTACCCCCTCTCATGTGTGAACTCAAGGCCATCTGCTAGCCTCCATCTCCTCTCCTTTAGCCTTAGATAAAAAGGTTTTTTCCTGTTCAAAGCTAACCACTTCATCTAGTCCCCAGATTACCCTCTTCTTTCCTTTCAAACTTTATTTCTGTATTCTTACTGAAATCCTCTTCCCTACCCAGAAATTCATTAATTTTTCTGCTTTCAATGGTTCCCCCTCTCTAAAACAAATTCCCCTCGATTAATCTTGTTACATCTTCTGAAAATCAATTTCCCCTTCCTTGCCCTGCCAAATCCCTGAAATATGCCTCAGTACCTCCTGTCTCCAACTTCCCCTTAGCCATTTTGGCCCGATCTCTAGAAGACTGGCTTCTGATGCATCATTCTTCAAAAGCTGCCCTTCCAAGAGATCACCAGGACTAGCATCCTTCCTGATTTAATACTACTACCAGTTCCCAAGATTTCCAGAAGTCTCTGAAGCTTTTACTTCTTACAAGGAATTAAGGCCACATCACAGAAGAACAGACTAGGGAACTGGCAGATTGAAAGCAGAAGGGATTATCTCTTTATAATTCCAAACTTTCAAAAACTGAAAATCTCCCCTAAGAGAAACTCTGTCAATGATAATTTAAAAATAAAAAGCGCATTCTAGTTTACAACACATAACTTGGAGCATTCTAGCCCTGGCTTATAATGACATTGAAATCGTTGACAGAAACAGGACAAATGAGGAGGGAGGCTAGGTCTCTGTGGGGAAGGCAGTGGGAGTTTGACCCACATTAGGGATTTGAGATGTTCTAATATAGGTAGCATCCCTGGAGTGCAGCTGGGTGTGGCGGATCCATGTGTACTGGAGGGGGACAGGAGAAGGAACTAGGAATAACATAGGACAAACAATAAGGAACTAATCAGAGGTTGCATTGACTTGTTTGGGGTTTTGATCAACACTCCCTCATGCCTCACTTGCTCCTCAGGCAAAGCCTATGCTTAGATCAGCGGGTCTCAAAATGTGAACCGTGGAGCAGCAGCATCAGCTAGGAACTTGTGAGAAATACAAATTCCCTGGCACAACCACAAATTTATAGAAACCCTGGGAGTGGAACCCCGTAATCTTTCAGGTGAAGATGATGTACGCTAGAGGTTTAAAAGCATGGACCTAACAAAAGGGATCCGTTTTATTATAAGAAACCTTGACTACATGGAATTTTTAATATGAATGGATTCTGCAAAGTAAATAATTGATAGAGAAAAAAACTGGTCTTGGGTCTGGCACCAAAATTTTATATTTATATGTGTAGAATTGATATAGCTATGGATAGACAGATAAATACTTATCTCTATGGATATATATGTAGCTATGAACACAGAGATACTTCTCTCTTTTCTGAACGGGCTTTGCCATTCTGCTGGTTGCACTAAATGAAATTGTGATATGTGCTCAGTACCTATTTGTATGAAAATCACATTTAACATTTCGAGAAGTACATTTTGACACGTGATATACTGTTTTAAAGAAACTTAAGGTTCTTACTGTATTTTTATAAAACATGTAAAGTCACCAACATGTCCGTTTAGTGTCAAATGTAGTAAGTCAGGAGATTCAAATGTGATTTGAAATATTTAGTGCCAACTATGAAAGCTCCTAAATAAAAATATTAAACCGAAACATGGCTGTCTTCTCTAGAAATAAAGATGGCTTAGACACCAAGGACAGTTTCTGAAATCTGATGTCAAATGTGCTACAGAGAGCCCCCCACACAAAAATGAAATTTCCCTAGGTAAAAATCTACTCTGAAAGAACTCAGAAGTGCTTAATTTATCATTTAAAAAAACCTAAAGATTAATAATGTTATTGCTGGAGTATTCAAATTAGAGAATATCAGATATTATTTAGTCTCATTTAATAAAATGCAGATTGAAAAAAATAAATAAAATGCAGATTGATATACTGCCTCAATCACGTGACTAGCTTACCACAGGCTGGTAAAATAATATTGGTATAATTGTATACATTTTTATGTATGAGGGTCTGTGTGTCAGGAGAGTTTTACGGATGTGCCTATTTATTTTGTATATTTTCTGTTTGTTTATTTTCTCTACACCTTAATTCACAGGCATTTGCTACAACTCAACTTCCTTAAAGAGGTTTTATTTAAAGAGAATGTTACCAGTTTGCTCTGTGAAAACACACCGGCTGCCAAAGAATAGAGATCTTTGAAACACTTCAAATAGGTTCAAGTGGACCCTCGACTAAGTTCAACAAGCCTTAACTCCCTGAAATTTTATGCTAAATTCAGTGTGTCTAGTGGAGGTGCATGTTTCACTGCTTTCTATAGGTTATCAAAGTGATCTGGAATCCCAAGAAGCTCATGAGAAAAATGTCATTGAAAAATAACTAGACACTCTCTTGGTCATGTGCAGATTAACCCAGCGTCTTAGGAGATGGTTACAAGTGCACTGGGAGAGCCCTAACTTCTCTGATGTAGCTCCCCTGAACTAGGTTTGCATCCTCTCCCTCCTTTTACAGAGCTCCTTCAGCCTTGTTCATAAAAAAAATTGTCAGCTCTTAAAAACAGAATTATTAATATAATGAAGTCCTATGTTAAAAGGCATTTGAGGAATGCCTGGGTGGCTCAGTTGGTTAGGCGTCTGTCTTTGGCTCAGGTCATGATCTTGGGGTCCTGGGATTGAGCCCTGCAGTGGGCTCTCTGCTTAGCAGGGAGTCTGTTTTTTCCTCTCCCTCTGCCCCTCTCCCTACTTGTGCTCTCTCTCTCTCTCTCAAATAAATAAATAAATAATTTTTTTTTGAAAAGGTATTTGAATTCCAAAGTAAAAATGCAATTATCACCTACCCTAATCTGGGAAGGATTTATAATGCAATGCAATTAAACTACTTATTTCCAAATGTTACATGTCAAAAAGATACATAAAAGCAGTCAAGTCTCAGCAAAATTTTCCCCTTGGATCTAATCTAGCCCACACATATATATGCAGATGAAAGGATCTCACTTGCATTAGGACCCTAAAAGTTGGAGATTACCTAAAATCAGTGTTAAAATGATGTTTCACTGCAGCAGATGGACAAAATGTAAAAACATACCCACAAAATATACCAACAATCTATAAAATAAGACACAAAGAAATTCAGCTAATCAGCACAGCTGGGTGCTAGGATGACATCTAAAAGATCCAGGGGAGAACAGGAGGTAAAGAGCAGGCGAGGGATGGGAAATCTGGTGGTGGTTGAGGCTGTTTTATTTCACTTGAGTTGAAAAACGGAGCCAAAAACTACTTTTAATGAGAAAGTCTGCCTTGGAAAACTGATTGTGTGTGTGTGTTCCAATACAAGTTTATTTATGGACACTGAAATTTAATTTCATATAATTTATGTGAATTATAAAATATTCTTTGGGGTTTCTTCAAGCATTAGAGTATCTGAAAACCATTCTTAGTTCACAGGCTGTGCAAAAGATAAATAGGCAGCACACTAGATGTGGCACTTGAGGTATAGTTTTTCAGATCTGTGGTTTTATTCATTACAAGAGTGCTTGATTTGTGATTATATTACATCTAGATTTAATAGGAATTGTGTTCCCCGACAGGCCCCTTTTTTTTAAATCTGATCTTGTGAGTTATCATGTCATTGCCGCCCCATCAAAGGTTGCTCTGTTTGAAAATTCTGTAAGTGGAACTCAGGAAGAAGACATACTTCAGCTAAGAAAATCCCTTATGCTGAATCTGGTCCATATAGTACTAGGAGTTTTTCACTGGTAACCCTTCAGTGATGAAACCCAAAAGACAGGGGCGCCTGTGTGGCTCAGTTGGTTAAGCGACTGCCTTTAGCTCAGGTCATGATCCTGGAGTCCCTGGATCGAGTCCCGCATCGGGCTCCCTGCTCGGCAGGGAGTCTGCTTCTCCCTCTGACCCT